AGTCAAATTGCCAGTTATATCCCTACATACATGTCTACCAGATACCCACGGAGAATAAACACATTACGTGGCATATATGCTTCTAGATGGAACTTTTATTAAAAATGGGAGCATATGCATTGATTCAGAGCAATATGGAATTACCGTACAAGCACTCTATATTTTTTTCCTTGGTTGGTGATAGTAGGACAATTATTGACAAGGTCGTTCACCAGCTTTTATGTTCGATCACTCAGAATCAAATTTTTACAGCATAGGGGTTGAGGAGTAATGTATACTTTGCTGGCCTCTGTTGTTTAAGTCAGGCCCAGTTCTAGAGCTATGCGGGCTAATCCACCGCACAGGGCCCCCTAAAATTGTGGGCCCCAAAATTTTTTAAAATTATATTTATATGTATATATGTTATTATAGTAATATCAAAAGGATAAGGAATTTAAAGAGGCAGAATTAGCATTGATATTGGCAAAAAAAGGTAACTGCATTAATTGATAGACCCTCCACCTACCTATCTCCAGCCATTTCTTCACGTGACATCGCTTTCATCCTCTTTCTTCTCTACGAACTGAACGACTCGGACCCTCCATCTTCTCTCATTCTCTCCGTTCACTGCAGCCTACGATTCTGCAAATCAATCCACCAATCGGCCGATCCATCATCCCATGATCCATCATCCTACGATCAGATCGGCCGATCAGATAACTAGTTTGTGAATTCGTGTGTATTTTCTCTAGTGAAAAGGGAAGCAATCTTCATATCAGATCAGGTAATTATTTTTCCTATTTTAACTTCATGTTTGCTATGTATTTTCGCTGTGGTATTTAGGTTGTTAGTATATTATATATATATACCTCTATTTGAACTATTTTTTTTCTTTTTCTTATGAATTCTTTCTTTCATTTTACAGGTGGGACCGTGGGAAGAGAAAAGTCAACTATCTTTTGTAGACTACTCGAGTACCTCTTCCACTTGATTTAAGGCTTCAAATTAGGTTGTATTGTTCCGAATCTTTTGACTTCTTTCAATTTGATTGTAATATATTTTTGTTTTATTATAGAAATGCCTCCAAGAAAGTATCCTTCTGGATATGATAAATGCAAGAAAAAAATCGAATAATTTGTTCAAACTCAAAGTGGAGCGCTTGATAAATTCATTGTTAGAGAAACACAAGATTTAGTTGAAAATTCAATTAAAAATAATAACATTAATAATTTGGGCCTGAATGAGTATGAGAATGAAAATGTTGATGATCAAAGTAAAAATGAAAATAATAATGAAAATGAGAATCATAATGAAAATGAAAATGATAATGAAAATGAGAATCATAATGAAAATGAAAATAAAAATAAAAATGATAATGAAAATGAGAATCAGAATGAAAATGAAAATGAAAGTACAAATGAGAATCAGAATTAGAATGAAATTGATATTGACAATAAAAATGAAAATGAGAATGAAAATATTTTAGGTAATGAACAACCTAATCAGTCCATGCTCATGAATTTGAATATTTATGATCCAAGAATTTGGGATAATTTGGATACAAAATTTAGAGATATATTAGTGGAAAATAACCCTATAAGAGATCTATTAGTCGAAAAAGGTCCTAAAGATAAATTAGGAAGATGTTTTTCTTCGACATTTTACACTAGGCATTTATCAAATGGAGAGAAATGCGATACGGAATGGTTAGTTTATTCAAAGGATATCGATAAAGTATTCTGTTTTTGTTATAAATTGTTTAAAAATAATTTTAAGAAAGTTTTTTTAATAAATAAAGGATTTAATGATTGGATACATATTAGTGCTAGGCTTAAAGAACATGAAACAACTAATGAGCACATCATTAACATGAATACTTGGCTTGATTTATGCATAAGATTAAAGAAAAATAAAATAATCGATAAAAATAGTCAAGAGCAAATTAATAAAGAGAATGAATATTGGAAGAAAGTATAACAAAGAATAATTTATGTTGTTAAATGTCTTGTTAAACATAACTTGGTATTTCGAGGAACAAATGAGAGAACTTATCAAAATAATAATGAAAATTTTTTAGACCTAATTGAAATGATTGCAGAATGGGATCCGGTAATGCAAGAACATGTTCGACGTATTGACCATGATGAAATTCATTATCATTATCTTGGTCATAGCATTCAAAATAAATTGATAAGTATGTTATTTTCAAAAATCAAATGTGTAATAGTTCAAAAAATTAAAGAAGCTAAATATTTTTCAGTAATACTTGATTGTACTCTGGATGCAAATCACCAAGAACAAATGACTTTAATATTACGATGTGTCGATATTTCTACAAATCCGATAAAAATAGAAGAATTTTTTATAGAATTTTTAAAAGTAAATGATACATCTGGACAAGTACTTTTTGAAGAATTACAAAATGTGCTAAAAACTCTTGATCTTGATACTGATAATGTACGAGATCAAGGGTATGATAATGGGTCTAATATGAAAGGGAGACACCAAGGTGTAAAAAAAAAATTACTTGATATAAATCCTAGAGCATTATACACGCCTTGTGGTTGTCATAGTCTTAATTTAACACTTTGTGATATGACAAATTGTTGTGGTAAAGCAAAAGATTTTTTTAGAGTGATACAATGTATTTATACACTATTTTCTCACTCAACAAAGCGATGTCAAATTTTAATAAATAATGTAAAAGGTTTAACTGTGAAGTCATTGTCGGCTACACGTTGGGAAAGTCATATTGAAAGTGTTAAAGCAATTAGATTCCAAACGCTTAAAATAAGAGAAGTGCTACTTCAGTTAGCAGACACTGATAATGACTTCAAAATAAGGAGTGAAGCAGATTCTTTAGCAACACATCGAATTGGAAATTTCAAATTTTTATTAAGTATGATTATTTGTTTTTAACTTAATTAGCAAATCTTTACAATCTAAATACATTCTTATTGATATTGCTATAGATCAAGTAAAAGGATTGATTAGTTTTTTTGAGGATTATAGAGAAGTTGGGCTCACACAAGCTTTAAAAATTGCTAAAGAAATTGCTACTAAAATAAAAATTGATTCTGTATTTCAAGTAAAACATCAAATCTGTAGTAAAAACAAATTGATGAGAATGTTAATGAGGAGACAACACAATCAGCTGAAGAATCTTTTAGAAACAATTATTTTTTGTATATTATAGATCAAGCTATTGGTTCACTAAAGAAAAGGTTTGAGCAATATAAAGCATATGAAGATATTTTTGGATTTTTGTTTGGTTCAGAAAAGTTAAATTCATTAGATGATAATAATGAAAGCATGTTGTGATAATCTTAAAATTGTTCTAAAATATAAAACATTTTCTGATCTTGATGCGAAAGATTTATTTGGAGAACTAAAAATCTTACGAAATATTTTACCAAAAGAAATAAAGATGGCTATTGATATACTGAATTTCTTAAAAATATGAAATTGTTTTCCAAATACATGTATTGCTTATAGAATATTATTGACTATACATGTTACAGTCGCATCTGTAGAAAAAAGTTTTTTAAAATTAAAATTATTAAAATCTTATCTGAGATCGACCATGTCATAAGAAAGATTAAATGGACTAGCTTTGATATCCATTGAAAATGGTTTTATAGATAAAATTGATGTTAAAAGCTTAATTAGTGATTTTGCAGCTAAAAATGCAAGGAGGACAATTTTTCGATAATACTTTTTGATGCTAAAGGTTTCGATATCTCTTATGAAGGTAAGCACATAACAAGAGGAACATAATATGCAAATATTTTTTATTGTGGACTATTTGCTCTATTGGAAAGCTTTATTAAGGTGGGATTACATGTATTTATCTGATCAGTAACATTTTATTCAGGTGACCGAAGAGATGAAGAATGGGCAATAGCACTTGAAAAGTATGTTAAAGACTATCCAGATGAGAAAAAAATCAGGTAATATTTTAATGTCTGATCGGTAACATTTTGTTCCCTAGCATTTTAGGGATTCAAATTGGAAATGAATTTGTTGATATTTTGTATATAGAGAAGGGCCCCGTGTTTATTTTTCGCACATGGCCCTAAAATCTCAGAACCGACACTGGTTTAAGTACTCGCGACTTCAGAGAACTTCTATTAGTTATTCCCCTCTGACTTTTCTCAAGCTTCTGATTTTGTTAAAACTCAAGTCAGTGATCGAAAAACTTTCATTTGTTTGAATATTCAGTTTTTATATTTTTGAAGATTCCACCAGGTGCAAGCTAACAGCTCATAGTCATATGTTCTCCTTCTATGTTTCCTTCTTTACCTTCTTAATCAAATAATATTAGTATCATCGGTCTTCTTCTATTGAAAAGATAAGCAGAAGCGCAGAAGCTGAGATCTAGAGGATTATCCCAAATGCAAGGCAGAACTTTAGAAAGGAAGAGAGGAAAACAAAGGGATAGATTAGATGGAAAGGCTTACCGAGCTCAAATCTTTTTATTATGCATGACGAAAAAAGAGCTAAACATTTAAAATTCAGACCATCACCATGCTCTAAAGTAATGAAATCTAAATTACTTTTTCTCTCCATAGAGTACACAAGCAACTATGCGGATACTGACTTTCTCCATCTTCCAATTTTGGTCATACACATGAGCAAGTCAGAAAAATCGAGAAATACAAGTATTGTGATCAGTGTCAATGCCTATCTTATCCTTAAATTTCATTTGTTTGAATATTCATTTTTTTAAAATTCTTGGGAAAATTCCACCAGTTGCAAGCAAACAGATCATCATGACATATTCTCTTTCTATATTTCCTTTTTGTTTTTGTTTTTTTTTAAAATAGCAGTTGCCATTGATCTCCTCTCTTCAAAACAGATGGATAAAGCCTCGAAGTTCTTTCATTCCGCATCAAAAAAAAGTTAAGACTATCTCTGCGCTAAAAACTAAGACTATCTCTTTGGTCTAATCTTAGAGAATTTAGTTCAGTTTAAACATCAAAACGTGACAACATCAAGTACCAACCAAATAGCCATCTCCATCATCAGATATAAGAGCACATTAGCCTCTGAAACCAGTACAAAAGAACCATAAACACCTCGGCTTTAGCACTATCTTAATGTACATAGTTATAAGAACGTTATTGTGGTAATTTCTTGCAGGTCCAGATAAAATTATCACACGCAAACAACAAAAACCAGTGGAAAAATTGTCAAAGACAAAAAGACAATATGCACATTGCTAGAATCCACCAAGAAGCCATCACTCACAAACTAATTCTCAATTTCGTCGAAATTCCAGTCTCGTACAAAGTCTCTAGTAACTGCACGGCTCCTCACAAGACGAGGAGTTCCAGGGATCCCTTGAGAGCCAGCAATGTTTGAGACTGGAACAACTTTAGACCGTGTTGTGTTGTTTGCAGCGACTTTCCTCGTTATGCAGTTAACTAGGGCACCGCATCTCCCTTCGCCCTCTGAGCTTGAAACGGAGTAGCTTCTGAAGGAATGCGTTGGACTGTCTACACTGTGGCAAGCGATGCATGCTAAGCTCATGGCTTGGGGACTCACGAGCACGGCAGTAACTGCACCAGGTAAGTTTGAGTTATTCATTAACAAACTGCATTAAATGTTACCAGATGATAGGGTTCAAAGAACAAATACTAACTTTCACGAACATTTAACAACAGCGTCTTTATCCCATGTTTTGAGGTTGGCTAAATGAATTCTATTTTTCCCCCCATTTTCCCCCATGTTTTGAGGTTGGCTAAAGGAATTCTATTTTTTTCCCATTTTGTTCTGTTGAGAGCTATCGCCTCCACTGCGCTAATCATCATCCATATCAGTCTTAGCTACTTCCAACGAAGTTCTCATAGGCCTGCCTCTAGATCTGCTCGCGCTAATTGTAATTAATTTAACATTTCTCCTAATCGGTACATTTAACAGCCTCCTATGCATATGACCAATAAAATCTTCTGTCGTTTTATCTAACCTCTACATTCCTAATGCACTCATTCTTATACCTCTTAAACTTTGTTTGTATGGGAGTGAATATAAGGAGGGAGAAGAAAGTAAAATATTCAATCCGTAAGGGATTTTCGTAAAGGGTCAATGGAGATGTGGGGGTTGCATGGAGGTGCAAAATTCGCCTCCGTTAACGTTCTATCAGTGTGCTTACATTACCCTCCAAATTGGGTTGGAATGGGGGTGAAGGTACCAAACCCATCATGATTTCAATCCAATGGCTGATATTAATTTGAACACATTGTGAAATAACTTCCCTTTCAGTTCCCTATAATGAACTCCCAAACATAATATTATATTTTCCCTTCCCTTTCCTTATCTTTCCCCTTCCCTTCCCATTCACCAGTGAACTCCCAAATAGAGGGTTAGTGCCTATCCACTCACCATCATAACAACCTCATTTATGCCACACTCACTCTTTGTACATCTTGATTCTTAATTATCTAGGGAGAAAAAGGGAACATTTATATGTTTAAGTTTTCTAAGTATACTTAAATTACATGTTTAGTTTCTAACTCTTTAATCAATTAATGTATTGCATGTACAGTTTGTGCTGAAAAAAGGAACATTTGGGTTTCTAAAAGCACTGGAAACATTAATTTGTTTATAAAAATCTCCCAAATCGAGTAGTGGAAAAAAAAATTCAACAAAAGAATCATACTTCGCAATCTAAACATAGGCACTGAATTATCCAATTCAACTCTATATTAAAATGTCATAACCGAAATCGATTCTCATCGGAAACTAAATCCAAATCGATCCCCAAATCTTTTCGCGCAAAATCAGGTACAAACACAAATCAAGAAAATATGTATTTGAATCTAAGAAAAAGATAAATTTTGTAACTTTAGGGGAAAATATAAAGGATCAAAGAAAGAGAGAGAGAAAAAATCTGACCTTTTTTTGTTTCGTTGACCGAAGGAAAAGAATGCGGCTGGTGGTGGGCGAAAAAATGGCGAGGGTCCGGCAGTGGACTTCGGTATTTATAGATGTCAAGAGACTTTGACGTGGAAGTTTATGCGAGTAATAATAATTACAAGCCAAGTTATCCTATAATTACGAGTAATTTTGGAGTTTGTGTATCTATACACGGCTGATCCTGAGATTATAATTATAATTACACCTGTGATTCTCGCGCCCGGATAAGAACTAACTTTTAAGGTTATCCGTGTAAATTGTTGGATTTTTTTGGTCAAAACCGCTTTTCAAAATAAGTTTTCAAACTATATATATTAACTATAATTAGTTTTCATAAATGCTTAGTAGCCTAGTGGAAAGTTAAAGTTTTGATGTTTCAAAAGTTCCTCTGTTCGAGGCTTGCCAACTGCAAACCGAGAAGTGTTTTATTTTAATTAATCTCTCATAATTTCTAGTGGGCCGTGGACTCGTGAGCCAATGGGTCGGGGATCGGGGCTAATCGGGCTGAGGCGCTAAGTGGCGCTTTGTCAGGCGCACTTTGCACTTCGCACGGATGCATCGGGGGCGAGGATGCGCTCTTTTGCGCCACGAAGGTTGCCTTGCAGGTTGCTTCGCAGCATGCGGACGAGCTACGCATTCGCATGGGGGTGTGACCCTAGCGTTCTCACAATCAGACGATGTTCGTTAATTGGTTGACAAGGTTCTACCTATTCTACGATGTTCGTCTTATTGACAAGGTTCGTCTGATTCACCAGATCAGACGAGGATCGCCTGTTTGACGAGGTTCACCCGTTTGACTAGTTTCGTCCTACAGACGATGTTCGTCTGATTTGCCGAGACGTGACTTTCGCGTTTCGTAGTAACGCGTCCATTGATTGCCTCGTATTTAGGAGTTACTACATGCAGCAATTATAACAACATTTACATCAATTTAATGGATTATTGTTACAATCATAATTATCATTATGATTTGTAACAGCCACATTAATTGAGGGTGACTGTTGAGCTGGCTTTAGAAGCCTATAAATAGCGCCCATTGGGAAGCTCTTGGTGCGAACTTGAAATACGAACGTCAGATCGAGGATATCTTGACGTTGTTGCTGTTGTGCTGCTGCTGCAGAAACTGTGCCCGCAGGAACTTGCCCTGAAACCGAAAGGTTTTGAACCAAAAGGTTCTGAGATCGAGGAGATCCTTGCCTTGACCGAAAGGTCTTATAGATCGAGGAGATTTTAACAATAATGGGTTGGTGCACACCAGAGTATTGTATTACTGTTCTTAGAAGCAGTTTGGCCTTAGGATCCTTGCACCGGAGTAGGCCAAATATTGCTTTAAGCACAGCGTTTCACAAACGCACAATAGTGAACTGAAAAAGTTTAAAATTACAGCACATCAAAATTTCTCTGTTCATTCCAGATTTAACCATAATTTCCAACATAAATTAATCAATACTTTAGAATTATTGTTATAGATATACAATCTCAAGATCACCGATGTAAGTACGTGATACCTCAAGGTACCATCCTGTAATTAATCATTTCACAAAAATAAGTTTTCAAGTAAAAGTACAATGTTATGTTTTGGGGCTTTTGCATAAAGTTATCCCAAATTAGTTTTATTAGAAAAACAATTGGGGAATCATGTACTATTAGAGAACTATATGGTAGATCAGATCATATCATACTCCTTATAAAAATGTGAGTTCAAGAAAAACTTTCCAAAGTTAGTATTATCCTTGAACCTTTTGGATAGTTAGTACATGGTTATCCTATCCTAATGAGGATGATAAAGTTAAAATCTAGGAAGATTATCTTTAGTAAACTAAGTTTATGTTCTTATCCAAATTACTAGTTGATGACAAATTTGAATGATGATGATAAAGTTAAATTTTACAAATATTTTCTTTAGTTTAGACTAAATTTATCATATCATCCAAACTATTAGTTGATAACAAATTTGAAGGTTTAAAAACATAATCTTTTTTATTTGAATATAACTTTATCTACTAACTCACTGATCCTAAATCATGGTGATCATCTCCTCATTTCAACTCAATTTTCTCTCTCTCCCTCAAGCACCATCAAAGCCAAGAAAAAAAAAATTAACCTAGATATCTTAGTATTCTCGTGTTTTGCATCTAACCAAGAGATCCTATTCAGTGCTACATTTGTATGAAAAAATCGAGGAGAAAATCAAGTCCGTTGTTCATCATCTAGATAAATACTGAGTTCCTATACTCACCCGAGTCACGGTATGCAACTCAAGTCACTGTACTCAACCTTTATGGTACTAACCAATTGAAAATTCTTTAGAGAATGCATTGAGCTCTACATAATGCTTTGTTTAGGAATTTAGCTTGAGTTCTTTGTTTTAGTTAGTAATTTGGTGTCTACTTGCAGAGTGAGATCGATGCTTTGTTTTATTAAAAACTTTAGGGAGAGAAAAAAGTTTAGAGAGAGAGAGAGATTGTAAGCTTACAGAAAAAAATGACAGGTTAAAGATCTGGATGATTGTATGTAAATTTTAGTTTATAATTCGAGATTAGCTTTTGGTATTTATTCATGAAATTATAATTTGTAAAGACTTAATTGTTAGTATTCTCTGGAATCAATTAGTAAAAATCATGTCTTATTAAATTTTTAGTAAAATTATATAACCCTCAATATTCATTGCCCTTCCAAGTTTTATGAGATTCTCTTCTCTGTTTGTATTGTACCTTAGAGCTGCTTATTTTTCTTTCATATAGCGAACGTAATTAGTATTTTTCAATTCAATGAAGAAACATGTGAGAGATGTAGAATGAAATTGGAGTCAAGATAATCTTTTGTTGTTTTTGGATTGTTTTGATTCTGTTAGTGTTGGTTTTTATTGTCACGAGAGGAAAACCGTGTTGCTATTTATTTGATTTTCTATGTCGATGTCTACAAAGAAATATTGGTAATTATGTATAATTCCTAAGTTAATTATATACATAACTTTAACATGAAAAAAATCCATAAAAATTAAGGCTCAAGATACTTGATCACGTGCAATACATGTGCGTCCTAACTAGTCATACTCCCTTTAAAAGTATGAGATCGGAAAAATCTTTACATGGTCAATATTACTCTTGACAAATCTTAACATTTCATTAAATTTTAATCTATTATAATCATAATTATATCTTATCATAATCCTATATGAACAACTTGCACGTCAATAATTTAAAGATTAATATGCTATAATATATGAAATATTATAAAAAAAACCTAAAAAATTAAAAATTGCACAAAACTACCCTTAAAAGTTTAAAATTACACAAAATGTCCAGACATTTTAAAACTTAAAACAACAAACATGAAACCCTCAATATTTTAAAAACTATAATAACACACTCAAAAGTTCAAATAATAAAAAACCACTCTGAAATTCTGAAATTTCAAAACTTGCGAACAACAAATATGAATTCAAGGAATTACCATCATGCATTAAAAATTAAAAATTGTAAAAAATAACCTTAAAGTTATAAAAATTATTAAAAAACTCTTTTGAAAATTAAAAAAGATAGAAAACCATAAAATTTAAAAACTTATATCCAATACATTTCAAATCTCAAAATTATCAGTAGACCACTAAAATTTTAAATTTTGCAACAAACAATTTAAAGTTTTAATAATTTTAAAAAATACCCTAAAAATTCAGAGTTGCAAGAAATATTCTAACATTCGAAAACTTACTACCACCACATGAAACATAAAAATTATAAAAGCTTAGTCATATCATACTCCCTTTAAAAGAGGGAGTTGTGGAAAAACTTTCTATGGACTATATTATCCCTATTTTTTTATATTACATTCTAATCCTAACTAAACTAAATTAATTATTATTATTAATTAATTGTATTATATACCACTTAAAGTTTGTCTAACTTAGTCCCTAAAACTTTCAATGTTATTTTAAAACTCTACATTATATTAATTATTACTAATGTACAATAATATATTAATATGAAAATTGCATGTAATAAATTATTTATGGAAAGAATAAAAAACATAGAATTGTTCTAAAATTATACTCTGACACTCATAAAGGAAAATTATAAAAGCTTTCTATGGACTATATTACCCCTAATCTTTTTTGATATTACATTCTAATCCTAACTAAACTAAATTAATTATTATTATTAATTAATTATATTATATGCCACTTCGAGTTTGTCTAACTTGGTCCCTAAAATTTCTAATGTTATTATAAAATTCTACGTCATATTAATAATGTATAATAATATATTAATAGGCAAATTGCATGTTAATAAATTATTTATGGAAAGAGTAGAAAACATAGAATTGTTCTAAATTTGTAACATGACACTCGTATAGAAAAATTACAAAGAGTATTCTTGTGTTTAGGTAATAGGACATAAGATACAAACATGTAATTTTAGAAAATATTAGGATGTTTAAGTGCAGCAAGATACAAGTGGAGGTGTATAACTTTCGTACTATAAATTAATTACAAGTTTGTCTAACTTGGTCCTTAAACCTTTCAATACTACTGTAAAACTCTACATCATATTAATTATCACTAATCTATAATAATATATTAATAGACAATTGCATGTTAATAAATTATTTTTAGAAAGAATAGAAAACATAGAATTATCCTAGAATTATACCATGACACTCGTATAGGAAAATTATAAAGAGTATTCTTGCGTCTAGACAACATGATAGAAGGTACAAATATGCATTTTAAGAAAATATTAGGATATTTAAGTGCAACAGGATACAAGTGGAGGTATATAACTTTTATAAACTATAAGGTATTTAATTTTAATTAAGTCTATAAAGATTTAAAACCTTTGTTAACCACCAATAATTGTATGTGATCCTATTGATAAATAATATTCATCATATAATATGATGCCAGATGCTTAGCTTATATTTATGTAGTAGATGAAGTGTAGAAAAATTAAAGCATCATATTTTAAATAATCCCGAGATTATGAATTGTTTCCAGAAATTATATACATTGCTTAGAAAACTTTAGAAGAGGCTTTCGAAGATCTACTACAAAGTGTT